TCCGACCACCCGGATTCGAACCAGGGACCTAAAGATTGCTATGTTCACTACAGTCTTCCGCTCTACCAACTGAGCTATGGTCGGCTGCTCTGCCAGCGAAGCAAAAGGCATTTGAAGCTCATGCACAGATGAGGCAGAGGGAAAGGGACCAAAAAAGAATGGAGAATCCGGGTATCGATCCCGGTGCCTCCCGCATGCTAAGCGGGCGCTCTACCATTTGAGCTAATCCCCCATGATGAACAACACAATGCACAGCTTGGCCAACCCCCAGCGCGCCACCTTGACTGCAAGGAGAAAAAAAAAAAAGCTCTCGCGCCGGGAATTGAACCCGGGTCTCGCACGTGACAGGCGCGGATACTAACCACTATACTACGCGAGATTGACCTGAGAACTTTTGCATCAGTCTTGACGTGTTGGGCGATCCATGGAGACTGGGCCATCCTTGCCCTGAGAAGATCATGGATCAGAGTAGATGCAGGCGCTCTTGTTCTTGGCACGCGCTAGATCGTTTCGAATGCGCTCAAGAGAGATGGTTTCGCACTTGGGTCTCTGTTGCAACAACAATGATGAGCATTGGGCAGCCAAATGCAGCTGTTGCAAAGAGTAAAGGGCCTAGACCACCTTTATGAGATGCCCTTGGCTCTCCAGGACCAAAACCTGCACCCACTGACAAGAAAGCACTCCAAATGCATCCTTGCCTTTTGCAAAGAAGCGTGGCAAACATCTTTCTCCATTCTCTGCACATCCCTGCTGTTTCAAAGCTGTGACTGAGCAAAGGCTGGCAGGCAGCCCAGGACCTGTCAGTGCTGAGATGAAGAAGAGATGTTGGCCCCTAGGGGCTTGCACACCCAATCAACCACCAGGAAGCATCTTCCTAGAACTGTGCTATATGCAAACGAGCAAGTGCCAAACACGACAAGCACAACTTGGATCTCAAGATGACAAGAGAAGATGGTGCTAGTGAGGGGAAGGCAGCAGGTGCACAAGTCAGATTCTGTGGTGTAGACATGCTTGCACATGCAGTGACTGCCAAGGTCTCATAGCTCAGTTGGTTAGAGCGTGGTGCTAATAACGCCAAGGTCGACGGTTCGACCCCGTCTGGGACCACTTTTTTTTTTTGTCCTTTGCACTTTTGGCGTGTGTGTGCATGTTCAAGGCAACAAGTGGTTTCGGGTTGGAAACCATGAACAAAAAAATGAACGCTCTAGGGTGGACTCGAACCACCATCCTTTCGATTAACAGTCGAACGCGCTAACCAATTGCGCCACTAGAGCCTGCTCTCCAGTGACCCAGGTGGATCACTGATGCAGTTGCTCAGACTGCTTCTTTGAGACCAAGCGAGTGGCTCAGTCGTAGAGCGTTGTCTCATATCCAAAGTCGGAGTCGAGCCTCCCACTCCGCATTCGTTTTTTG